TTTTAGTTCACTTATTTAAAAATAAGTGAAAACATCAAGACCACCAGTTTCAAGTCGACAAGAGTTTTGTACCTGTTACAGTTACTGATAACACAATAAAACCTCAGTTTATGCACACATCTTACTCGTCCTAATAATCGAACCAATAAGTACGATCAACTTCAACGCGACTTACGAGTTCTGGACACACTGAGGTCACCGCACCTCCACAGCCCAATGCACACACGTCGCAAGGCTCTTCTTGGCAGAGCTTTGGTATGTCGCAGAAAAATTTGATCCGCAGGCTAGGGTTTGCCGACATGAGCGCCTTGAGCGTGTCCCAGTGCAGCCAGGCGTGCACGCAGGTGGGGCGGACGTTTTCGCCCAGGTCTTCGAGTTTGAGCTTCCTCAGGGCCGGCAGTGAGGTAAGCAAGCTGAACATCCGCTGGAGCTTGTGGGTTTCCTTGCACGGATAGCCCCAGAGGGTCAGCGACGTCACCTGGGCCTTCTCGTGGGCGAGTACCTTCAGGAGGCCCACGCAGACCTTCGCGGACTTGGTATCCTCGACACGCAGGGTGACTTTGCGTAGCTGCTTGGCGGCGCGGCCGAGGAACTCCGCAGCCGACAGGACGGCAGCTGGCATCTCCGCATCATAGTTGACGACAAGGTGTACCTTCGTCAGCAGCTCTTGCGAGGCCAGCGCCTCCAGTCCGACAAGCATCGGGCACTGCAGCATTCGGAGGTTCGGTAAAGCAGCCAGGAGGGACACAGTTTCGGGAGAGTACGTAGCATACTCGCCCAACTCCACCACCTCCAGAGTGGCAGCGTGTCCGGCCAGCATAAAGTCCACGAAAGGCTGCGAACCCGCCAGGAGCTGGCATTCGAAAAGCCGCAGGGACGGCGTCGACACGGGTCTGCGTGGAGCGAAGACGGCCCCCTCGAAAGGGAATTCGCTAACTGCAAGCGTCTCCAGGCCTGGCCCCTGCCGAACGGAGTTGCCGGCGCAGCGAAGTGGAGCTGGCAACTCCGTTTGGCGGAAGGGCGGGCCTGCTTGTTACTGTAGGAAACTTATTTGTATAAAAGTGATAACATAGCTGGAAATTGGATTAAAATGACGATGAAGGCCATGGTGGAGGCAATAATCTGAAAACAAGGGAATGCATTTTTCTGACACGACTTCAAAAACTCTCCGGTGACGATGCACAAAAAATATATTTACCTGTTTCATGGTACTCAAATCGAAATAATAGGGATCTACAGCTTTAAATCGAATTTCTTGCAATTGCGCCTGCTGAATGAACCCACAAATCTGTAATCATAAAAGATATCGAAAGTGTTCGTCAATGTGTTAATTTCTGATGTTGCAATCAAAAAGACATACTTCTCTTTTGATTTGAAGATCCATGTTTGGATGATAAGCCATTGTCGTCTGCAGGGCAGTCGTTATCCTACAGTTCTACAAGAATTTAAGTATAGGGTTGTGCACGCAGAAGAGCAACACCATCCCTGCATTTCCTTGGCCCTGTCCTCTCAGCCTTGACTTACCTCTCTTTGCATCTGCTCGCCAATGATACAGATGAACAGAAGCTTAGCTGCAAGCGACATGGCCCAGACCAGGTTCCACATTCCTACCCATAACCACCGACTAGTTGCTGGAAAAACAAAGGTAGCGCGTAGCGCCTGTTAAAGGTGTCATATTTAATATATAGCATAATACCGAACCAGAATACAGAGACTATGTAAAACATTGTATTGCACAAAAGAAAACTGTAAATTTTTGATTTAAACTCGAGCTTGAAACCGGTCTGCAATTTACATACCTGGTGTAAAATGTTAACGTTAACGAATCGAATATTTTTGAGTTTGAGCAAGAACGCAAATTGTATCGCTTCCGATCAAATACTAATTTTATAATAATGAATACACTACCGTCAATGTTATATTCCTACCGTTACTTGTTATCACTACGCTGTACACACAGACCACGGCCTGGACCATCGTCAAGGTACTGGAGACCACATTGAACAGTTCATAGATATGGTTGGTTGCGTGGACGCTGTCGTGGACAACCTGGTAGCGCACCCTGAGCGCACGGAGACTCCTAGCCAGGGAGGACATCCTTCCTTCTAGCCGGCGTGCCAGGCACACCGAGCACGTTGTCGTGGCCGCGGGGGCGCTCAGGGTGTCCCCAGGCGACGCTACCCAAGACGGCGTATTGATGAGTTCTTGGACATCCTCCGCTATGCCTTCTAAGAAGTCTTTGGTGACGGTCATCACGTGGATGAACGTGTCGTGGGTGAGGCTGAAGAGCAACACTGGCAGCACGTCATTCAGGGCGTATGTTATTTTCAGCCAGTCCGCGGCCGTCTTGTAGGTAATCTGTGACATAAAACGCCTTACCTGTATTCCAGTCAGTGTGGCTGAACATTGAAAAAAAAAACAAAAAAAAAACAACAAAAAACCACAAGTGTGACACACAATTTCATTAGGTTCATTCGGTGGTCACATAACATTTTATGTGGTTTATTTTATAAGAGAGCTCTGTCTTAAGTTGTATTTCATAGACAGCTATTCGGTGCCTTGTAATCATACGGAGAATCATAGTGCATCAACTACATGTACAGCTATTTTCGCCGTAGCTTACACAATAACTGGATTTGTATCTTTTGTTTGTACGAACTTAAGCAATCAAACTTTTTTGCACAAATTTCTGCGTTCATTTTGAACACTTCTGTGCATTCATTTGTAGGAAATCATGGACTTTTTCGTACAACCCGTTTAGGGAAAATTTTGAGCAAGCGAAATAGAGGCTATACGATGAAATCGTCCGTGTTATGCAGATAATTTTATTCATATTAAGGTGCCCTTACACTCAGCGTATTCGGTGTCCGCGGACGTGTCCGCCTGTGTCCGTTTTCTATTTTCCGTTGATGTTTCAGGCAGAAATTCTAATCAAATGTACGACCGTATATCCTGGACACATTTTCTAACGTCTGGTAATAAAAAACCGTATCTGAAAACGGTTTAACATCAATGTGGATACAGCGGACAGGCTGAGTGTAAGGGCACCTTTACAAATATGCGTTAAAAAAAAACACATTTTATCGTAGCTTCAGAATCAGTCAAATGCTTCTAAACAATACAACCGAATTATCCATACCACAGACGATTCCATTTGAATTACAGATAGTTTGTGATCCGAGAGCTTGCTCAGACTTTGCCGTGAATCTCCGTTCGTAAGGAAATGAGGGAGTGCCTTGCGGGTGGAGGGGCCCCCAGGTGTATTGGCGACGGTCGTACGTCGTATATGATCGCTGTAATGGTGTACACGAGGGGTGCCGCTCCAAAGCAGAGGACGGTGGCGGCTCTGGTCTTGTACTTGCGCCTCTGACTCGGTAAGGAATTCATGTGAAGGAGCACGGCTCTGACCAGCAGGCTGAGGTCGTGGGAGTGGCGCACCATGACTACCTGCGACAGAGGTGTGACAGGCATTTAGTGTATGCACGTCCCTTGATTCAGTTATTGGAGTGCTACAGTCAAGTGCCCTAAATACTGATGATTTTTTAAAGGGAAAAGGCCTGTTAAATACCAGGTGGCTGATTAACCCCGCGCACTTCTGTAGTTAGACTGTACCGCACGCACGAGTGCGGGCGGGTTGCCTACTCGCCCAGCCCGTAAGGTGCCGTGGACAGGGCCGATAGGCAAGCCCGCCCGCACTCGCGTGCTGTACAGTCTAACTACAGAAGTGCGCGGGGTTAATCAGCCACCTGGTATGTAGTTTTGATAAAATAGAAAATCGGTGGGAATTACAAAATCTTAGGACCAAGACACACCTACCTCCACCTTAAACAATTTTTATCACCTACGGTGGACCTCTTAGGCCCTCTGTAAGAGTGTCCGTATAAGTGCACTAAACACAGACAAAAGCGATATTCTCAATCAATTTGCCCTAAAATTAAAGATTTTTACGTCGAATAAAATCGGTTAGTGACCGAGCTGCCAACAATATCACCAACTTCAGCGCACGTTCTTTAGCGTCTTCAAATCCGTCTCACGGCCGCGAACCGCGAAACTCACCGCAGGGGCCCAAGACTCATCTGCGGCCTTCGAGATGAAGGTTGGGCTGATGTGAAACGCTTGGGATGGGGTCCCTACCCCACCTCAGTTCGGCGGCAGGGCAGGTTGAACTTGGGGGTAGTTTGTAAACGATTTGCCAGTTTATCGAGTCTGGAAGCGGAGCGGTTGGTCTGACCGACACGAGACTATGAGAGCAGCTTCTTTGGGGTGTTATTTAACGGATCCGCATGGACCCTACCCTCCATCACCTTCCAAAGGGGTGCAGGGCCAGTTGGGGGTAGCTACCCCCTGGGAAAGGGTTGAAGATGTTGACACCGGGTTTCTCAGCATGGATGTCTTTCAAATGAAGAAAGGAACCTTTCCTTGAGGTTTCAAGCCAAAAATTCAACCCTTAGGGTCCTAAATGGCCGATATTCAGAAAGGGGTTGCAGGTTCTAGGGGTGGTTTAGCCGAGGGGTTGTCCGATTCCAAAAAAAAAAGAACATGTTCCGTGTATACAGGGGGTGTCTCTGAGGATATAACAGTAGTTTTGGTCATCCTCAACTCACCCCTTCGTAGGGGTGGGGGTGAACGGGGCAGGGGGTGCGTTTGAACGAATTCGATTTCACTGACGCCGTTCAAAAGAGGACACAAATTTGAGTCGGTACAGCAAACATTTCGACTTTCCGATCATTTAAAATGACAAATTCGGAGCCTTTTAGGTCTTATTTTCTTCCCTGGTTCACCCTTGGGGCTGCAGAGGCCTACACTCCAAATCTCGACCTTCTAGCTCAAAAGATTTAGAAAATACGCCGGCTCAAAAAAGTGCGCCGCTAATTTTGATCGGTAGTGTATAACACAGCAAAGTGTCCGTATTTAGAGCGCTAGTCCGTATTTAGGGCGTTTGACTGTATATAAATAGAATGCCTCCTTCTTAAAACAACATGATTTACTTTCGCCCTCTCACCTGGATCAGTGTTAGTCCGACGTTCTTGCTCAGGTAGTCTAACAAATACATGCTGCTGACGAACTCGTAAACTTTAGCTGGGATTATGGTCTGCAATTGGCTGGTCTTACTGAGGTTCGACCAGAAATCATTGAACTGTAAGGTTTATTCAATAACATCACGGTTAAACTCAGAACGAATTGACATCGACTGGTAAAGTTTTTAAATAAAAACATACAAAACTCAGCTCAGCCAGCCCCCCCCCCCCCTCCCCTCTCTTTGAGGGAGACGGAGACACCCACCGTCACGTATACCATTGCGACCCTGGCGATGTTGGTCACTGGCGTGAAGACGTTCGCGTACGCGGCGGCCACCCGCTGCAGCCGTGCATGACCCCCAGCCGCATGCCCAGCAGGGAGGCCCGCCAGTGCGCCTCGAGTGCGCGCCCCCAGGGCCGCCCGGAGCTTCCCATGGCACATCGCGTACTGGTGTGGACAGCCGCTTAGCTCGCCGCGGTCCGCCGGTCGGCAAATCGACTTGACGATAAGCATCGACCGCCGCTCCGAGCCAAGGGCAAGGATGACTTGATCAGCTGTCATACATTAGGGCCACAGAACTCCACTCTGCAGAGTCTTCCATAGACGACGTTTCTTTTTCTGTGTTGTGCAAAGCCTTTGTTTTGGGGCGCGTTCGAATAAGGAAAATCGGG